TAGGCTACCCAATCATTGGCTCAGTACCAGACGTACCAGAGAAGAACGGCTTTATCAAGTTCGCGGACTGGGGCAAGGAGTATGGACCCATCTACCAATGCAACTTGGCTGGGTCCAACCATGTCTGGGTATCATCTGAGAAGATTGCCCACGACCTGCTTTCGAAGAAAGCTGCCATCTATTCTGACCGACCACACATTCCCGCTTTGATCGACGACAACCGTACTAGCGCGCAGTACCTGCCATTGCTCAGCAGGAATGGTATGCATAATGAACGAGGTTTCGATCCCATTGCTGACGCTTGACAGAGGGCCATACCCGCCAGAGGAAGTTCGCCAACATCATCATGCGCGAGTCAGAAAAGGCTATCTTCCACCGATACCCGGAGCTGGAAGCAAAGCGGATGCTTGTTGAGCTGCTTGAGGAGCCCGACCAATACAACCATATCCTCGAATCATTCATTGCCCGCGTTACGTCTCGTCTGGCTTGGGGTCATGCTGAAGCTAGTGATGAACTCAAGCAGCGTGCGCGCGAACTTCTGGTCGGCGTGTCGCCTACTGGCGCCTTAGGCAACAAACTGCCTTTTCTGATGGCTCTGCCTGACTGGATGTCGCCCGCTAAGGCATGGGAAAAGCGACGTGCTAAGACCGAGCGAACGTTTTTCCAGACGATGCAGGCCCAAGTCGAGAGAGACATACAAGAAAAGACTGCGCCTGCCTCGTGGATGAAGACCTTTCTCACCCAAGGCGCAAGCAAGTTTGGCTTCAAGTCTGATACTGAGGGTGCCTACGCGGTCGGTATGCACGGCATTGCCGGTGCTCTGACAATCGCCGCACCAATGCAAACCTTCTGTTTGGCCATGTCGCACTACCCGCAATACCTGCCGATGCTTCAAGAAGAGATCGATCGCGTCTGCGGCGATAGACTACCCGTTGCTGAGGACCGTCCAAACATGCCAATGTTGCGTGCGATCATTCGCGAACTGATTCGCTGGCGACCACCAGTGCCTACCGGCATTCCCCATTACCTGACACAGGACGACGAGTACGACGGCTTCCATATACCCAAGGGCAGCACTATCCACCCACTTGAGTGGTAAGTTGACATCGGTTGTACCTGTCGATCATCTTGGCTGACATATGCAGGGCAATTTCTCGTGATCCGGAGATCTATCCCGAGCCCGAAACCTTCAACCCACTTCGATGGCTTAAGCCTGAATTTCCAACCTACAGAGAACCTCTCACTCAATTCCCTACTATCATCAATTCATCACAATTCGGCTACGGACGACGCCTCTGCCAGGGGCAAACAGTCGCAGACGAGGACATGTTCATCGGCATTGGATCTATTGCATGGCTTTTCAACATCTCGAAACGTTCGCAAGACAAGCCAAAGCCGTCGGTCCCCAAAAAGCCAAAGCACCTGGTTGGCATCAACAAGAAGCGCAGAATCTCGAACGAAGAACTTAACGCCGGTCTATCCTCAGATTCAATCTCAGAAAAGGCCAGTATCGAGCTCGCGAGACCTACACAGCCTTTCCCGCCTGGTTACAGGCCCATCGAGTGGGGCGATGCATCTCAGAAGCCTAAAGACCCGACTCTCGACTACTCTATTCTGCTCATTGCAAAACCGATCCCATTCCAATTCCACTTGAAGCCTCGCGATAGGGCAAGAGCCAACAAAATCCGAGAGCTGTTTGCCGAGGGTCTCGAAAAGGGTCAATACACTAAGCCTCGAGAATACTGGGGCCCAAACCAGGGGAGAGACGAGTCCCTGGGGTGGAGCAAGGTGTGAAACGGCAGTTACGACGGCTGATCTGCGGACCCTGCGACGGGCGCTGCAGGTGTAGTGCTGAAGGGAAGCTGCCGGTGGGGAGCCGGCGTCTGGAACGTGCGTCTGGGCAGGCACAAACTGCCTTCGAGCATCAAGCTGTGACGCAGCTCAACGCGTCTTTTCCTTTTCTTCTTCCATGTTGTTTGATTTTTGCATGGCCATGGCGTTCCTGGTCTTCACCCAAGCCTTAATGGCTCGTATGTCACTTAGCTCCTGTCTGGCTCAGGACCGAGCGCAGCCGCATCGCGTTCTTATTGTACGATAACTCTTGAGTAGCTATTACAGCAAACATGTCCTATCTTCATTGATGCCTTATTGGAAAGTTCTGCATCATGCATGCTGCATGCAGTCATGGTCACCGCTGATGTCTCATGACCCTGCGCCATTGTCCCGTGCGCTGCTGACAACGTCCCGTTCCGAAGCTGCGAAGATGGCCTCGTCATTCAGCTGGCAGGCACAAAGGCCGGCGATCGCTCTTCCCGAAATTCCTATATGGTATCGTGGGAAGAGAGAGCCTTCGCTTCCTAAGTCGCACACCGTACTGTCACGGAAACCCGACACTAATATCAGCTGAGCATACGGTGCCCAGCATAGGCAATTTGACAATCTGCAGCTCAGAAGAGAAGATCATCGTCTAGCTTGCTGCATTAGTCGTTCCCTCTGCTCCCGCATCCGTACTTCCTCTCGAGCCAACCACTCCATTTCTCGATGTCTCTGGGCCTAGATATGAGCTGACGGTGCTGTTGCAGCTGAAGTCATATTCTGAAGCTGTATATCATCGTGTGTGTTTAGATGCATGGGTGTATGCCACACAGAGTACACATGGTGCAGTTCCTGAGCCCTCTCGGTGGCAGGCACCTCACTAACGAACATCTCGCAGAAGCGTTCTTCGTACAGAGTTCCTGCGCGGCATGAAAACCTCGAGCTCGTGATGATCCGGATCCTGGATCATGGGTATCCTGTCACTTGGATCGTCGAACTTCTTGTCAGACCACGGGTCTGTACCGGCAGGAGCTGCGGGAGTCACGGCGCCCTTTCTTCGACGTAGCCAGAAGAATGTGATAAGTATCAAGATAAAACCGACCAGACCTCCGACAACACCGCCGATGATGGCAGCGAAATTGGCTTTCTCAGCACGGCTCGAATTGTCAGAAGTGCCGGTATCCTTCGCTGCAGGAGGGATCGCTGTTGTGAGACCTAATAGACCCAAAGTAGGAATGTCTGTCCCCGCCCGCTCATCAAGGGCCCAATCGGTTGCAGACGTTGGGCAAGCCTGCCTTGTCGCTGTCGGTGTATATGAGGCTGCTTGCGTACCGCTTGATGCCAGCGTAGCCCACTGTGAGGATAGCGTGGAGTAAGCAGGGAGCAGGTTAGGTGTCACAGTTGCGCTGTTGTCCGTGTAGTTCACGAAAGACAGCTCGCTGACTTCTTCACTTGTTGTGAAGTAATTTTACCACTCAGCCGGAACTGCAATCGTCAGCTCACTCGGCAGAACTTGGTAACGGCACCTATCGTTCCCTGATATCCGGTCGGACCACTGTTCAAACACCCGCAGCTGATCCGAGAACGATCTAGATCCCGAGCATGTGTTGTCTGCCATGAAGGCTGGAACATCAAAGTCACCTGCCATATCTACGATCTCGTTGAAAGATGACGTTGCGAAGTCGGTGTCGCTGCACAACCCGGTCACAGCAAAAGGAGTAGAAGTCAGCTGCGATGGTCTCGTTACCACAATACAAAAAAGCCCATATTGGCCTTTGAAAACAGTCCACCCGGCTTGAAGACTCCAATAGGTAGGTGGCGGTAACGCATGGCATTTCTGTATGCTTTGAGGCCCGCAATCACAGCCTTGAGCACAGCCGCATTGGCGTCGGACCATTGTATACGGTCTGCCCGGTCGCTGATGTACAGACCAAGGAGGTTGTCGTACTTCTGCAATTCATCGAGATTGCGGGCCAGCATATCACGCAAAGTCGTCGTCCATTCTGGCTCATTCTATTGGGTTGTTGTCGTTAGACGGCACCTTCCTTACTGTTACAGGGTCCAGACTTACGTTGAGATTGCTAGGCTGCAGTTGGCCAAGTGAGGCAAGGACGTACAGGTCTTGCTCCCCAAACGCTCTCAAGCAATCGGTGACGGTCGCGTTGAAGGCACTTTGATCGATTCGTACCACGTTTGCGCCCAGCTGGTGCATGAGCTTCGCGTCGATGCTACATTGTGTGCTGTTGGTAAGACTTGCCACCAAGGTACAAAACACCTGCCTGTTCAGATTTGTAAAGTCGACAGGCAGTTTGATACCGTACCTTTGATGTAAATCTGATCGCCTTCGCTGTTGAGAAATTTGGAGCCTTTGATGTTGACAGTGGCAATGCCGAATACCAACCGCGAGACCACCAGAAACAACGCAAACGAAGCTCTCTAGAGATGCATGATACCTTCGTTGACTTAATATTGTAGGTTGATCTACAATGCGACACATATACCACAAGTAGGGATGAATATCCCCCGATCGTGCATCCGGACTTTCTTCTCCTGTTATCTGATGCCGTCGTCGCTTCCTAAGCGCGCGTGGCGTGCTGCCCAGCCTGATGCACGCCAATATGAACAGCAGGAAGTATTTCCAAACCATCCTAAATCTTCAGGCCAACAACACTGGATTTCAGCGGGCTTTATACGAGCCTCACAAGGCAAAACGGTTGCCGATCGACATTATTGGTTTTTGTGTTTAATTTTGTGGTGATGTAAGCGCTGATGCCCTGGTACAGAAGGTACCTTCGTGCACCTCTGTTCAGAGCCATCCGTCCTCTAATATGGCAGTCAGTCACGCTTACATCGAACACATGGACAGCTAGGGGGATTCTGAACGTCTGTCGGGCATGGAAGTCCGAGGGTGAGCCCTGAATTGTATACCTAAGGTACGAAGTGGTCGCCTGCCGATAGCGTGTACTGACATCTGCACCAGCAACAACCGATACGAGGTCTATTGTTCGGCATAAATCATGTCAAAAGAGCAAAAAGGATGGAGCGAGTTGATCAATCTTCGAGATGAAGACGTTGCAAGCCCGAGTGTTCTAGCGAGCCTTGCCATGGCACGTGACCCACTCTGCCGGCAAACGTCAACACCATCCGCCGACCACATCAACGCCGAACCCGCGACGACGGCAAAATGCATCGGCCGGGAATCGAACCCGGGGCTAGCCGAAACTGTCCAATGGATGGCAACGGCTAATTTTACCACTAAACCACCGATGCAGGCAGGTAATTTGATGAAGATCAACCCGCTTATATGTTATATATCCCATAGTGTGGACAAAGGGCGTCGCAAGCCCGGTCAGGCTGCTGCCTGCGTTAAACTGTCTTCCAGCACAATGACGTTGACCGTTGATGATGAACTCGATCCATTGCATGCACCTTCCGAATCATCAAGCCATGGCTCCGAAGTCAGCCGAGATCAGAGGACCAGTCCTTGCCCTACTCTGCGTCGATACAGATTCTTGGACGTGGGACGGCTTCACCAGTCTTTCGTTTTGCCAAGACGGAACAGAGGAAGTCAGTTTGAACTTCTGATCGGAAGCATACCTGAAGCTGACAGCCAGTTCCGTAGCTACACCTTGCGGGAGAGCAACGCTCGTGGGTTGCCGTCATGTTCAGATGGTCGATTGTAGGGGATCCAGTCAGGGAGGATGATGCGACCTCGAGGACTGCTGTCGACATGACGCTAGGCACTCGACTAACCTCGGACCGCCATGTTAGAAGTCCGTGGCTCAACGAGGCAGCACTCCAAGAACACCTGCAGAATCCACCATCCACGAGCGAAGCTCCCTTCCCTTGGACACCCTTCCGCTCTGTCGCTTTTCAGACAAAGCAAATTATTCTCACGATCTCACGCGGTAGCTACATCTTGCCGGTTCCGTCTGAGAAAAGCTCGTTCAGTCTTCCTGCGCCGTCGTTGCCTCCTCAGGAGGGACCTTCTAGACCTTCCCACAGGCGACAAGAGAGCATACAAAGCTCGCGAAGCCCTCTAGATGCTGCCCGACATCCCCTGTCCCGCAGAGACTCTCATGCATCACGACGACCTACTGTTGAGCGACGACCCACCATCACGAGGGAGCAAACGCCTAAACCTAGACGCCGGGATCGGCAGAATGTAGACGACTCTGTCCGCACCAAGGTAATCGAGCAGCACTCAAATCTCCGCCGACCGCAACTAGATCATGCGTTTTCCTTTGCTGCCATGCTCGTGACAGCCGTACTCTGCACTGCTTTGAGCGGCGATAATGTCTCGGTTGGCTTGTGCAGAACGTAAGTCTGACCTTCCCCTCGATCTTCAGTAAGAGAGTTGGGGCTGATCAGTTGACAGGGTTCTAAAGATCTGGGTGGTAAGCGCTCTTCACTTCGTAGCCCAGCATTGTAACGATGTCGGCAACACTAAACTGCAAGTTTCCCAGCGCGATCCTTGTGCGACGATGCCACCAACGCGGAATAGGCGGATTGTACAATTCCTGGGATTATCGGCGATCTTCGAGGTCATAGGCATGGCTGTACAACAGTTCGGCGCATTGAGTTTTCTGGATGCACTTCCACTATCGCTCACATGCGTAGCAGTTTTCAACTGGGCCTGTAATAGCACCTCGCATTGAATCTCATTGTGCAAAAAGTGAGTTGCATGCGGCATCATGACCTCGGGTGTTTTACGCGTACTCTTTCGAACATCTACGCCCGCAACAAGAGCCTAATAAGGGGGCAGCTGCTGTAGAGCGATCCTCGGTATCCGCGACTGTTGTTCCAGCCAGACAGTCGGTCAATTTCGCAGGAAAGAATTTGCCCGGGCTTCAAATCATTTGACGCGGGCATGACTATGGTCGAGACGAAATGCATACCAAGGATAGAAAGACCTACCTTGCAAGACGCCAGGTACGAGACAATCATCGACCGTCGGCAGGCACTTGTGGGCACACATCGCACGTTCCTTTACGAGCATCACGATTTCTTTGACTTCACAACATCTTTCATAGTTCCACCGCTCTGTCACAATTGACACCGACCCTCTCGAATTAACCACACAGCATATGGTGATCTTAGCGACGTAAAAGCACACACCTTGTTCCTTCCACTTGGCTGCGACACGACCAATATGAGTTTCTAGCTGAACGACACCTTTACAAACAACACTTCTGGCAGAACTTTGGCTAGCAGGTGGATAGCTTTCAATATCCAAAGGGTCTTGACGTCATCACAGACGATGCAGACGCGCAATCTTAGAGCTTGAGCTGTATCTACAATTTTTAATATTTTGGCTTGATTAATCTTCGGCTTGCCTATATATCATAGTTCACGGCGAGCAAATGCCCTTTGTCGAGAATTCGCTCGCAGATGTGCTGTGCCAAAGCGAACGATCTTCATGGGAAGGTTGGCTGATTGCGTTGCGAACTCTGTGGGCGTTCAGGATCATAGCCGCGATGACAATCATCAAATCACAAAATATCGCTCCACCGAAGGAGATCCTCGATGGCGGCTTTGTGGTCTAAGAAATCGCATTGATCACAGGCACTCACTGTGACATCTTGAGTACAACGAGCGCTGCATGGATGTTTTCCTACAGATGTACAAAAGGGAGCACGACAAAGAAGAGCGATACCTCGAGCTTGCGATTACCGCAAAGTGGCGTTTAGAGAAGGCACTGCGGCTGTGGTACCCATATCGGCATAGCCTGCGATATAGCCGAGTCTGACGACAAGATTTGCACACTGAAGTGAGTAGATCTTTAAAGAGTAAGTGATGCATTTCGACATCGTCGTCCTTGATATGAGCTCTTGATTGCAGATTTCCAGCTCAGCCTAGTAATAGCCTACTCCCTGCCATAGTATCGGTGACCGCAAGTCTGCTACGCTGCAAGACAGATCCAGCAAAACTCATATTAGCATATTGTGCCTGTCCCAGGTTAGTAAGTGATAGAATCCCTTATTGAACTCATTGTTCAACTCACACTTCATATGATTACACCCGCCATTCTTCTCGATCGGAGCACAGCAGCTCTCACGTGGACACTTCTTGGTAAGTTGTTCGACAATCTGCAAGCTCGCCTCTCTTGACTGGCGCGAGCATCCAGATTTGCACGAAGCTTCTGCGGCCTGAGTCTGTCATCGCTTTCTCCACATGTTTGACCCCAATGCCAAGGAACACCATGAACGACGCAGAAACATTGCTTGCATGCCACGCAACTGAACAGATTGGCATTTGCGCGACCGTTGGGGACATGGATTTGGCCCGATCTGCAGCCTTCAGCTTTGCACCAGTGGAAGCCAGGATCTGATCTCAGAGCTGCACGTGCGCAAAAGCTGTCGTACTGAGCAAAGACGTCTGGTGCGGCTTGAGCTTGCATGGTCTCGTGGGTCAAGAGTTTCTTGCATCTACCATTCGGACACCTGACCTGAGACCAGCCATCAACTCCTAGCTGGTTGTTTATCCACTGTCGATAGCATATCGAGCATACTCTAGGTTCGTGCGTACATGATGGCTGGTCAGGAAAGTCCAGAAGGGACCTGTCATGATCGCAGACGACGCAAGTACGCAACCTTGGCATAGCGGGTGTAGTCGGTGAGACTGCTGCTCCTGCCTCGAACATAATTGCGCTTTCCGGAGTTCTGAGCCCAGTAGAGGTAGTCGCAGGCTTTGGTGGTTTTAATGGCACTTGCGTTGTGAGCATGCTCAAGAACCTTTCGGCAAGATCATCTGCATAGTCAAAAGCTGCGTTACAATCTTCAGCGGCGTTTACCATGGCTTGGAGACTTGGCCAGAAGGACGGAGTAAGGCTGATAGAGGAGTTTGGTATCAATTTTGCGGGTTAGTAGGCTTCTGTTGACAGAGCGGCGTTCTGTTCTAGAGGGTGAAGTAGTGAGGTAAATCAACTTGTCTACTGCCAAATTTGAACCCTAAGAATATCGCAAGCACGTTCTCCGACCGAAAGAAGCGTGCTCAAAAATGGTATCTCAAGTTACTCAGTACCGCAAAAAAATATGAGAGTGGCATGTTAGATGGATGCTATCCGTTGTACGCGCATCTGCATTCGATTTTTGAGCATATTATCGCTATCTTCCAATTTTCTCTTCCCAACAGGGAAACCATAGAAGATGTCCACGAACCACACATCATGGACGCTGCAGAACATCAGTTAATGACCCTAGCCTGATTGCAATCGTCTCAGGGGACTCTTCGTAAATTGTCTGTCTCGCTGAAAATTCTGGGTCGCAATCTCTTAGCTCAACCAGGCGCGATTCGTAAAGTTACACACGGGGCCGGGGGTTCCTTAATAGACTACGAACTTTTCGACCTATATGGTGACTTGAAGGGTTTTAAAGGGAGGGTTGTGTAGTTTGTAGAAACATGAGGAGTGAAGGATAAGAGATTGGTGACGGATGTTCCGCGTCGGTTGCATCGGTAGTTTGGTGGTAAAATCAGCCGCTCCCATGGACCCATTACAGTGCGGACCGGCGACCTTACCACCACCAGCTTTCCGCAATCTCAACACTTGCCTTCTCCGCCATGACCTGCCTGCACAGATACGTTTCGACATGATGCGCACGCTAGCTGTAGCTCTCGCACGTTGCACTAGCCTCTCTGCACATTGTCTCTAGCGGCTGCCTTCCGCCGCACGTGGCGTCCCTGCTATTTGCGTGAACGCTATCATCTTACCTAATCCAGCTAACGCTTGTTATACAAGCTGGCTCATCTTCGCTAGTTCCTGGAACTGGTACCAGCGGAATTTAGGATGCGGAGTCTGGGAATCGCGTTGACGTTTCGGCAGCGATAACAGCCAATGACGTTGACTTGTCGACGCAAGTCATGAGAGCAGCTTCATGGAGGATTCGTGAGTTCATGGGAAGCGTGGACCATACGTCGCACGATCGGGATCTGCGCCAACAGGAGACTTTCTCCCACCAGGCTGAAAGATTGGTCTAACTGCCAGCACATCCACGCACACGCACACGGGTCTGTGCTCATTTTTGATTGAGACTACGCCACTTTCCACATACCGGTCGACGCAAAGAAAGTGACGGAAGTCAAATCAAAAGCGACAATGAAGGGGACAGGAAGTTGCATAAGAAGATGTCGTCTACTCTCTCGAGTAATTCTCTGAGTATTCGCACTTTTCAGATTATACCACCCAAATTCCCTTGACTGCGAAAACTTGCACGACCAAAATGGGCAAGATATCTTCCACCAAACCTCAGAAGCCTAATCCCATCCAACCT